TAAAAACCGCTTCGCTAGGACCGGACAGATAGATCCATCTATAGGATTGGATACTGAAATGGATAAGATCCGCGGGTTTGAGTCTAAGACGGGTTCAAAAACATTTAATACCCATGAAACCCGTCTCGCCCTGCTATACAAAACGACGTCGTTTTGTTTATATTATATAGTATAATTTAATAATGTATAATAAGTATCTCTTACATGTCAAAACTTATATCTATAACGACGACATCGTCTCGTTTTGTCTATGATTATCTATTTTATTTTAAATCTTGTCTTATAAAGGTTTGAATTTAGTTACTCTTTTTTGGATTTAGGGTTAAAACATATTAATTTTGATTTACTCGTGACATTTATTATTGATGTTATTCACGTTTGATTCAATTTAAAATTTTAAGCTTGGTCATTCATTTTAATTTCTAAATAATTTCGCGTAAAACTTATGAATTATTAAAGAAAATAACTTTTTTTAAATTACGACGGGTTTCGACCTGTGGATGTTGGGTTCTACTTTAAACCTGCAATAGACCCGTCTATCCTAAAGCGGTCAAAAACCCACATTTTTTATTGACGGGACGAGGGCGAGTCTAGAACCCGCGAGTTTACGACCCGCGCACACCCCTACTTCACGTTAGGGGTATCAAGGATTAATTTAGCTTGAATTTTTCACTAGTTTAATAGCTCCCAGGGGCATCTCAAATCAGCCCTACATTTTAAATTTGATTTAATTTATTTATTTTTAACTTTTACTTTGGATTATTAATAAATACTTAATATTGATCTTGTCATATATATTGGGGGCTTTACGAATAAGTTATCAATAGGTACTTATTCATAAAGGGATCAAGACAATAAACTCATTTACAAAAAAATCAACACATGGTCCAAATTTTTGTAAAAGACTAAAATAGCCACTCATACTTTAATATACTCCAATTTCATCATTAATTTAATTTAACCTCAATTTTACCCCAAATTTCATACATTATTAAATTTTGACCCAAAACACATTTTCATGGACAATTTCGTTTGTACCGTCGTTGACTTTTTTTTTTTTTTCCTTCCAAAGTTTTTCGCCGGTTTCCGGCGTTGACCGGCTTTTTTTTTTCCTCCTGATTTTTCCTCTACCGGTTTCCGGCGTTGACTATTTTGAATTTTTTTTTCTTTCTTTCTTTCTTTCAATAACATTTTTTTTTCCGCTACCGGTTTTCAGCGTTGACTATTTCGATTTTTTTTTCTTTCTTTCTCTCTTTAACATCTTTTTTTTTCGTTTAAACAGCAATATTGTTGTGATAGACAGTAATATTAACTATATTACTGTTAAATACAGTAAAATTAACTATACTACCGTTTAACACTATAATATTGCTATATTAATCTCTACTACAGTAAAATTAACACAACAAAACTCATTATTATTGAGTTATAGCGTAATATTACTATGTTGACCGTTCAACAAATGTAAATATAATAAAAAGCCAAAAGAATTAATATTACTGTGAGTGACAGTAATATTACCCAACCACTGTAATATTATTGTGTTTACAGTAATATTACAATAATAGACATTAATATTATTACGTTACTCCGTGAATAACTCAAACAAAACAAAAAACCCAAAAAATAATGATATTGATGTGGTTAACAGTAATATTATTGTGTTTACAGTTATTTTACTTTCAACGACAGTAATATAATTATGTTAACTTGTCACCAAATCCAACAAAATAAAATTAAAAAAAATAATAATAATATTACGTTAATTTACTGTCAACGGCAGAACAATTACATAAATGTATTGTCAACGACAGTATAATTACGTTAATGTACTATCATTGACAGTATAATTACGTTAATTTACTGTCAGTGAGAGCACAATTGTGGTCAACGTTTAGCGGCGGGCGTAAAAAAAAAAAAAAAAAATAGAAAGACACTAAAAATAGTCAACTCCGGAATTCGGCGGCGGAAACAAACTGAAAAAAAAAAGTAAAAAAAAAAAATCAACACCGGAATCTTGCGGCAAAAATTTTTTTTTGAAACAAAATGTCAAAATTGATTTTTTATGGTCAAAATTAATTAAATTGGGGTACAAGTAAGAATTGGAAATAAAGGGTGGGGGTAATTTTTTCATATACATGAATGTTTCATTTATTTACAATAAATATTAAAGGGATGAGCTTATTGGGGAAAGAGATATAACTCATAAATCTATAATAATAATAAACATGTTTGATTATGAACATGTGCACAAAAATCCTTCGCAACTCAATAAACTAGAGAAAAATGCACACTAAATTTCATCCTTATGGCCTAAAATCACTCTAAAATTCATCATTCGCGCCTCATGAGATAAAAGAATTATACTACACTCATATATAAATTTCGGCTAATTGTAGTCAACATTTTTTTCATTTGCATTTATAGTCAATAAAACTGTTACTTCAAATCGGATTTATAATTAATATTTTAAAAATAAAATTGACTAAAATTATGATTAATATTAAATTTATAATTTTCTGATATATTTGGTGAAATGCAATGCAAGATCAAACAAATCAAATTATATTCTCTATAAATAGCAAAATGGTGAAATATTTTTTTTTATTTTTATGATAAATTTGATGTAATTGATGAGAGACCAAATATATTATTTATGGGTTATTGGCAAATAGGCACATGACAAGTGCATTAAAAGAAACATCCAACGTTTTTGCCCTTCAAATATTTTCAGCCCATTCAAACTTATTTGCTAATAAGAAAAACCATTTTATATATGCCAAAGTTACCCCTAATTCCTTTAACCCAATTCAACTCTAATTTCATGATTTACAATCCAATTTAGCCCAATTTTACCAATTAACCAATTTTGACCCGCCACCACCGGAGACCGCCGGTCAGCCGCCGTTGACTTTTTTGTATTTTACTTTTTTTCTTCTGAATTTGATTTCCGGCAGGCAGGTCAACCGCTGGTCTCCGGTGTTGACTTTCTTTTTGAAACCTTTTTTTTCCGGTAGGTCAACCGCCGGTTTCCGGTGTAGACTTTTTTTTCAATTTTGTGTTTTCTTAAAAAATGTATTTTCATTAATATTACTGTCTTGACTACTAAATTATTGTCTCCAACAGTAATTTAACTGTCGGAGACAGTAATTTAACTATTAATTGACTTTTTTTTTTGAAATTTTATTTTTTCTTAAAAAAAAAGTTATTTTAATTAATACTAGCATTTTTTTTCCCGTGCGATGCACGGGATCGTATTTTAAAAGTGAAAAAAAAATTCAATTTAATATATGATAGAATAAATATAATACACTAACAGCGTAAAATTTAAGAAAGTAGTAGTATTCTTATTTTATATAACATTACTTTTTTTTACGTAATATGATTTACAACCCAAACAAATAAGTTAAGATTTAACAAATCGAATTCTATCTTTATAACATTACTTTTTTTTTTTTACGTAATATGATTTACAACCCAAACAAATAAGTTAAGATTTAACAAATCGAATTCTATCTTTATATGTTAAGATTTGAGATATATTGATGAAAATTGGAGATTGGAGTCGGAAGGATTCTTCACGGTTCAGTGTTGATTTTGATAATTGTTGTAAAATATAATTAGAAAATTAGTGCATAAAAAATATTAAAAATAAATAATTACGAAATGCTATTAGGGTTTTCCAGGGTTGCCCTAGCGTTTCTTTCTTTAATGAATAAGATTACTGTCTTGGCTACTAATTTACTGTCTCCAACAGTAATTTAACTATCGGAAATAATTTAACTGTCTGAGACAGTAATTTTACTGTATTAATTAATTTTATCGTCTTTGCCTGCAATTTTGTTGTCTTTGACCGTAATATTACTGTCTCATACAATAATATAACTGTTTGGGACAGTAATGTTGGTAATATTACTGTTTAGGTATTCAATATCACTGTTAAAGTCAATTAACGGTTAAATTACTGTTGAAAACATTAATTTAGTAGCCAAGACGGTAATATTGATTAAAATAAAAAAAATTTAATTCAAAAAAAAATCAAAAAAAAAAAGTCAACGGCGGTTTACCGGCCGGAAAAAAAATTCAGAAAAAAAAAAAGTCAACGCCGGAAACTAGCTGGAGAAAAAAATTCAGCAAAAAAATTATTTTCTAAAAAAGTTAATTTTTCATAAAATTATGAAAATGGGGGTTAATGTGATATATTTGTTTAAATCCGAAATCAATATGTAATATTGAGGAAGTTAGAGCATAATTGATGGAATTGATAAAAATTATAACTCCCTTGTCATGTCCCTCTTCTTTGCCCATATATTATTCACCCGAAAATAATAAAATTGTAGAATGGTGTGTAACGAATGGATGATAAACGTATTTTTTTACCACACAAAATATGATTTGGTAATGTTGGAAGATGCTCTAAATTGCAGCAGAGGCATAGGCGAATTTCTTTTAACTTGTCATATTGTATTTGAATGAAATTGTTTAAGATTAAGAATATTAAATTAATAATAAGAAATTATTTGAGTTTTTTTATTGATCTATTTCATAACTGGTTTGAAATTCTTAAATCTTACATTGAACTGATTTTAGAATTATTATGATGAAATTGAAATTCACTTTATACTTAAATACTCTTTTCACAAATATTCTCATTAGATTTAAATCCTTTAATCCATATAAGTAGAGGATATATTATTGCTAATCTAATCTTTTCGGTACAAATCTAAAGTAAAAAACAAATATAATATCTAGAAAACCGTAAAAAAATGAAAATAGAATTAAGTAATTACCCCCAAAATAGGCCTTTATCTTTCAACACCCCCACTACTCAACTATCTCCCCCACTATCCCACACTCCACAACCTCGTTTCCTCAACAACAACTATATATATATATATATATATATATATATATATATATATATAAGGAATTCAAAGTTTGAAGGTTTTCAAAATAACTAGTGAAGAAAATGCTGGAAAAAAAACAGAGGCATAATAGTAATGGAGAGTGCAAGCAGTGGGGGACGTGGTGTAAAAGACGAAACTTTTTTACGAAGAAGATTAAAACTATATTCTCCATTGCAGGTAAAATAAGAAGAAGAAGAAGAAAAGAAGAAGAAGAAGAAATAACAACGTGTAGTAAAAAAGCAGCAGACGAGCGAAAGGTGTTGGAAGTTCCATTTGGTGAATTGAACAAGAGTTGTTCAATTCAAAAACAGCTAATGGCAGGTTTCAATTTCAAGAAATGGAAAACCATTAGTGCTAAAAATGACATTAATATTAGTGCTAATACTGCCACGAAGCCTAGTATTCATCGTTTGACGGCTAAGATCGTACGGAAAAGGGATGTGGTGGGACCGGTAGAGAAGAAGAAGAAGAAGAAGTTGATGACGTGGTGTCGTGAACAAGGACAGGAGACGAACAAGGAACTAGAACTGTGCAAGAAGAGGATACTAATGGGAGAAAAGTGCAGACCCTTAAATCGATCTGGTGCTCTTCACTATGATGAACACGGAGTTCTCCTACCAGAAGATCTTGCTGCTACATAGACCATCATTTATTTATTTATTCATTCTTTTTTTTTTCGTTATTTTAATTAATTTTATGTTTTTCCATTCGTTGTATATTTTGTAATGAAAGCACTCTTGTGTTTTCGTTCTCAGTTTATGTTTGGTGTGCGCAGACTATATATATATATATATATATATATCATTGCAAGTGATTAAAAACTTTACGGCGTTACCAAGTCAGGTAGCTTGAAATGGAATCACACATTACTCCATCTAGTGTTCTGGAGTATATGATTCATAGTATTATAATTATCAAAGATTTCCTTAACCTAAAATTATCCATAATTTCACGATTAAGGTGGTGTTTGCAAAAGTTTTTTTAAAGTGATTATGAGCTTTTTTTTTCTCATAACATGTTTGCAAAATCAACTTTTGCTTTTACTTCTCTTAAAATAATCTTTCTCTTAAAATAATCTGCTTTAAGCTATTTTTTTAAAGCATTCCTAAACCTGCTTTTTCTATTGAAGTTCATTTTCCGAAACATTGGCAAACGCCCCCCAAATTTTAGAAATAAGCACTTAAAACCAACTTAACTCACAATCACCAACTTAACTCACAATCACTAACTTCTACTTTTAAATAAGCTTTTTCAAGCACCACTTAAGAGCAGAAGAAACATAACAAAAGCAACAGCAGCTCTCAATTTTTTTTATCTTTTCTTTTAAACTTGGTACAACATACTTGAAATCTGGGAAAACAAGTCGATAGAAAAGCCTTGCATACCGTACGTATATAACTTGACAATAATATATCCAACAGCTACATACACACACACAATTCGTAGATTAATTTCATCCACTGAAAATACAAAAAAAAAAAAAAAACAGATATTATTAATATTGTCACGGCCTGAGAGGCTTAATACCAAGAGATAAACGAATCCTATTCTGTTCAGCAATTTCAGGATCAGGATGGTCAGTTCCATCATCTCTCATAGCAACAGCCTTCTTCTCTCTCTTCCTTTTAGGCTTCTCATCCTCGTTCATTTCACCACCCCGCTGCCTTTTGGGACTAATACTTCTACGATGATGATGATGATGCCTTCTACTACGATACTCGTCACCATCTTCATCTTTCCTATCTCTACTTGGGCTCCTTGAATAGCTTCTTCTCCTGCCCCTTTCTCTTCGTCCATCTCTATCTCTTTCTCTTTCTCTATCTCTATCTCTATCTCTATCTCTATCTCTGTCACGATCTCTCTCTCTGTCTCTGAGATCTCTATCTCTGTCGCGTCCCCTTCCACGTTCTCTTTCATAATCTCTCTCGTAATCTCTATCCCTCTCATGCTCTCTATCCCTGATATTTTGCAGGATCAACTCAATTCATTAACCAAAGTTCAACAAATTCATATCTGTAATAATTTACTTTTTCTTGAATCTAACCACAAGTACAACAAGGTGAATTGCAAGAAATCAAAAAAAAAAAAGTCAAGTATTTGACATAGTAGAATTGTTAGACCCGTCATACTTCTCAGCTGCACACTGCCAGTGCAGAGAAACCTGGCAGGATCAACATATTTCAATGTAGGAAGCTGTTATTAGCCACTTAGGGCTTGAAATGCCATGGTGGTCAGGCAACCACAATACATGTGACCAATCGTCACAATTGTGTACATATTCCCTTTGAATAACAGCTTCCAATCCCCTGCCCATCACTTGGATCGAGCAGGAAAAGAAATTTAAAAACACCAAATAATCAAATCTTCTTTACCACAATACAATAGAACATAGATTACAAGTAACAGTTTAACCAAATTGACCAAATAAATTACTAGTGACAAGGAATATTGAAAGGTAAGCCAGGTTTTTCTTTGGTAGCTGTAAATACAATGCTATCATGATTATCCCTCCATTAAATTATCTTAGTCAGAACTGAAAAGTTCACATTTAACAGTAATGAAAGAACAATTCCACACCTATTAATAAGGCATCAAATAGTAATATTATCCTACAAAATATCGGGAAATATTGACAATTCACGTGCACAGACCACAAAAAACAGATAATTAATAGCAGTTGATGCGGAATTCAAATCCTAATATTAAGCAACTTGAAGCAAGTAAGAACATATGCATCACAAACGAAACAAAGATTGCCCCAGCTTACGTGAAGAAAGTAGCTCCTTGAAGAATATCATGAAAAAACTCAAATGAATGGAACTGTAAGACATAAGATACACATTGAGAAAGGTTAACCTGTATCTTTGAGTATCCCGTTTCTTATCTCGATCTTTTTCCCTGGTCGGACTCCGTGCTCGATAGTAATCCTGTGGTACAAGATTATAGTCAAGAAAAAAGAAAGTAAAAAAGAGAGAGACAATGTGTGTTTGTGTATAGAATATTGGAGACCTTGTCATTGCCCCGGGGGGAATCTACTCCGTCTGCAATTTGTTCATCTTCTTCATCTTTTTCTTCCTCCTCCTCAAAGTCGTCTTCGAGAGCACTTCTTCGTGGTTCTAACGAACCAATTGCCTCAAGTGTCCATCTGAGAGGGCACACAAAATAAGCAGATACATCCAATTAAAACAAGACAAATATGACCAATTGACAATATTCTAAAATCAAGACAACCAAAGAAAGAAAACGAGAGAATGAAAAACATATCAAACAATTTAATAATCATCCAATATCAAGTTCGACAGAAATGACAATTCAGAAACCAATAACCTAACAAAGAAATGGTCTATTCTTCAATAGCAAATTTGAAGAAACAAAAGATTTCACACACATACCTTTTCTTTATTCGAGGCAAGGCGATGTCGCATGAGTAATCTTTAGTCAAAAGCTCATCAATGTACTCATCAACATGTGTTAAAGTGAATTCTGATACACAATTCAAGGAACACGAGGAAATCGTTAGCATGGATTGAAATGTATATATAATAATAATAAATAATAAAAGGAATAGAAAATATTACTTCCATCATTAAGCTGAAGCCTCAGCTTTCGGTAATCGTTGTATAGAGGCTCGAGGTACCGATAAACATCGACATCTGTCCCAGTAAGTCGGAGATAAAAAGCACCAAGCACACGAACATATCTGATACAAAATAATTAAATAAAATAAAAATAAATAAAAAATAGCATTTTTAATGCAACTGAATGAGTTAGAAATAGAAAGAAATACAAACTTGTAGTCGGGATTCTTGATGAATTCGACAACAATTTCCTTGTCAGGCTGAATCTGGAGCATCTTCATAACGAGGCACATAAAAGGGGTGGGTCTGCGGTTGCCGCCATTGGTGCCGCCGAGGTGGTCGAGCTCCATGGCTTTGTCGACAAGGGTTTCTGCAGTAAGACCGAAACATTGCTCCTTCCAGTATGTGTTCTGATATATCTTTGTTCTCAATATCTTCTCCACCAAATTTTGAGGGTTCGTACCCCTTATGCTCTTTGCTAGCGGGTCTGTTCGATTCGCCATTTCACAGATTCAGATTCAGGGGCTCCGGCAGAAAAAAATGTCGAAACCCTAAACCCCCAAATTACCAATTTTCACAATCTGACTTGTCTGGCGTAAATCCCTTCCCAGTCACTTGGGCTTCAGGAATCGTCCACTTGGGCTTAAGGAATTTGGGCCTCCTTTATAAAATAATATATATATTATCTTTCTCTTTTTTCAATATTATAATCATCTTAAAATAGGGAGGGGGTCAATACTCAATAGAGAAGTTTTTAGTATTATGTTACACTAGCATTTTCTTCCCGTGCGATGCACGGAATCGGATTTTAAAAGTGAAAAAATTGATCAATTTAACAAATAGAATTTTTATCTTTATTTCTTAAGATTTGAGATATACATATATTGATGAAAAATAGGAGATTGAAACCGGAACCATTATTCACGGTTCAGTGTCAATTTTGATAATTGTTGAAAATATAATTAGAAAATTAGTACAAAAATATTTAAAAAATAAATAATTACAAAAATGTCATTAGGGTTTCTTAGGTTGCCTAGCGTTTCTTTCTTTTATATATAAGATTTATCCCCTCTTACTATGAGAAATACACTTAAATCCCTCTATCTAATGGTCAACTTATTTGATATTTAACGGTGTTATACTGTTAGTAGTAAAATAAATTTAATATATTTTTATTAATCTTTAATAAACGACACCTTATTTTTATTTTAAAATAATATATGTATTATGAGCAAATCAAATAAATGATATTTAAGATAGTAATTTTTTTAAACCTTGGATTGAAAATTATTTACTCGTTCAATATTTAAATTGAAAAAAATAATATTTAGATAGTATAATTTTTCATGTATTGGATGAAATTATTTAAATTATCAAACATGTAAAATAAAATTTTAAATATTTATTTGTAACATCAAATTTTGTACAGTTAATCCTAAATGAAATGACCAAGTGAAAACAAATTTGATGTTACAAATGAATACAATAGAACATTAACATATACCGTAAAGAAATATTGATGCACGATTATAAATTTTAATATCAATATCTAATGAGTAAATATTTTAATTCAATATTTGAAAAAATTATACGTGTTAACTATTTATTCATTATATTTATTGACAGTGCAATATGTTTTTAATAATATAGGTTAATCGTTAAGATCAGGGGTATAAGTATATCTTGCAGAGTATGAGGGGTAAGTGTTATATATAACACAATAAAGGGGGTAAAGTGTATTTTACCCTATTTTTTAAAAATTTAAACAAACACAAATTCATTTTGGGAAAAAACAAAAATGAAATAGAACCCAAACCAACATTGGGTTGATAATTTTTTATTATCAAAATAATTTTTTTTTTTTTTATTAATATTCTATAGATGTAAATATCATGGTAATGTTCACTGATTAAAAAAATAATCCTGATAGATAATGTCTAACTATTTATGCTTTATAGTAAAAAGTAAAAACTAATCTCTACATTAAAATCCCCTAATTTATGCCCTTATAAATTAATATGTTTTAACACTATTCGTTCACATGATACTTGGGGTATGCTCAAACTGTAATACACAGAAGAGTTATTGCAACAGGTGAGTCGCTATCACATAGCACCGCCCAACGTGGGATTGTTGGGAAAATAATATTCTTCATTTATTTATTTATTTGTTTCCACCATCAATTGCAACCACCACATTTCACGTCAATGGGCCCACATTGTCATATTTTATATTTACCCCTCTCTTTCTTGAACATTTCACATGTTTAAGAATTTCCGGAAGTGTTAATAAAAACAGATTTTGTTGACAAAATGTAATGTATTGTGTAAAGAATATATTGAAAACATGATACATGTGTGATGTGTGGATATGTTTTAGACGAATTGGTATTTATATATGTGTGTGGATAACTTTAAAATATAACATAAAAAGTGGGCATAACAAAGATGATGCTATTAGGATTGTTAAGAAAAAAATAAATGGAATAACAGAGAGTGGAAATTGTTCTATTGAAATGAGAAAGAACAAAATGTTAATTAGAAAATTAGTCGAGTTTTTTTTTTTTTTTTTTTTTTATAAAGATGTCATTAGGGTTGCTCCAGTACAGATAACTTGACGTTAACTTCTTTTATATATAATATGAATACATAAGAAATGTTAACACAATGAAATCTTATATATAAAAGAAATTAACATTAAGACAATAATGAGCTAACTCTAATGATATTTTAGTAAAAAAAATTCATTATTTAAGTTCAAAATTAAAACAAAATCGTTTAGAATCCTTTCAACATTAATCTTTTTTTTCTTTTTACAACAATGCATCTCTAATTAAACTCTAGGTCAATCCTAAGTAATCCTAATGACATTTTTGTAATTTTTTTGTCTACTAATTTTTTAATTATAAGCAGTTAAGAAAATGGCAACACCAATGGTATTATTTTCCTTCTAAATTACTAGCATTTTTACCCCGTGCGATGCACGGGATATTGTTTCAAAAGTGAAAAAAAAATTAATTTAATACATAATAAGAAAATATAGTACATTAACATAGTAAAATTCAATGATGTAGTATTATTCATATTTTATATAACATTCGTTTTTTTAAATCTTACATATTAAGATTTATAATCCAAATATATATATATTTAGATTTAACAAATCAAATTTCTATATTTATCTATTAAGATTTGAGATATATTAATAAAAAATAGAAGATTGATAATCGTTGAAAATTAGTACAGAAAAATATTAAAAATAAATAATTACAGAAATACCATTAGGATGCGTTTCTTTTTTTTATATATATAAGATTTTAATTATATTTTCTCTACTAATTTTTTAAATTCAAATCAAATAGTGTAGATTCCTTTCAACGTCTATCTCTTATTTTTTTTGAAACCATATATATCTCTACTTAAATGCTAGGGCCCGCAACCCTAAGCAACCTCAATGGCATTTTTATGAATAAAAAAAAAAAATTCTCTAATAACATTTTTTTATTTTAAAAAGTTCAAAAATAGAAAAACAAATGTTAGATTCCTTTCAACATCAATATCTTATTTTTAACCATACATCTCTAATTATATTTACACGATTTCTTTTTTCTTTCTAATTTTTTGCTTTATTAATCACTTCATTTCTTCAACTCATTTTATGACAATTATGCTTATATAATCTTTGAGGAGTGAATTTGTATTATTCGATTTCTATGAGTACTGGAATCTAAATATAACTAATAAACTTTGTTATAAAAGTGTAATATATGTTTCATTATAATTGTCGTGCATTTAATAATTAACTTTTCACTTTAAAATATTATCCCCTGCATTGCACGCGATAAATACTCGTTAAATTGAAAAATCTAATATATGTAATTGGACACTTTACAAATAAGGTCATCAATGGATACTTATTCATAAATGGTCCACACAAAAAACTATTTTACAAAAAAATCCACACATGATCCAAAGGTTTGTAAAAGACTAAAATAGCCCATCACAGCTCCAATTTTATCATTTAATTTAATCTAACTTCAATCTGATCCCAAATTTCACAAATTATTTAATTCAGACACAAACACAATTTTATGGACAATTTCGTCCGTCCCCGCCGTTGACTTTTTTTTTTTTTTTTTTTGCCGCCGGTTTCCGGCGTTGACTTTTTCGGTTTTTTTTTTTTTTTTGAATTTTTTTTCTTTAAAAGATTCCCCCCCCCCCCCCCCAAAAAAAAATATTGTTGTGGTTTCCAGTAATATTAACTATATACTGTTAAACACAATAATATTAACTAGAGATTAAATTCTGAGCGGATCAGCCGATATTTAATATAAATCGGTTTCCACTAATTTTTTGACATGTGGCACTTTTAAGTCTAAACTCTTAATAAATCACGCTATTATAATTAGGGTTAGAGGGTAACGGGTTATGGTGGGGTTTTCTATTTCCTTTTTTTTTTTTTTTCTTCCAATCATTAGAATCCTAATTATATTTTTATTTAAACTATCCACATGTCAATCATCCTATGGCATCCGATTTCCCTATTAAAACAGACCATCCGGTTTAAATTTGCACTCTATTAACTATACTACAATTTAACACAATAATATTGCTATATTAATCTCTAACACAGTAATATTAACACAACAAAAGTCACTATTATTTTGTAATAGAGTAATTTTAATATGTTGACCATTCAACAAAGGTAAACGTAATAAAAAGCCAAAAGAATTAATATTACTGTGGTTGACGGTAATATTACTGTAACAACAGTAATATTACCGTCAACCACAGTAATATTATTGTGTTTACAGTAATATTACTATAGTAGACAATAATATTATTACGTTACTCCGTCAACAAAACAAAAAAAAACAAAAAAAACCCAAAAACAAATAATAATATTAATGTGGTTGACAATAATATTATTGTGTTTATAGTTATTTTACTGTCAACACACAATTAAAAAAAAACCCAAAAAAATAATAATATTGTCGTTGACTCTAATTGTACTGTCAACGACAGTACAATTACGTTAATGTACTGTCAACGACAGTATAATTACGTTAATGTATTGTCAGTGACAGTATAATTACTGTTAATGCCAGTACGATTACGGTCAACATTTAGCGGCGGGCGTAATAAAACGGATAAAAAGTTATGAGGAAAAAAAAATCATTAAAAAAAGTCAACGCCAGAATCGGCGGAGGAAAAAAAAAGTCAACGCCGGTATCCGGCGGCGAAAAAAACAGATCAGGAAAAAATAATAAAATTAATAAAAATCGAAAAGTCAACGCTGAAAACCGGCGGCAAAAGAATAATTTTTGAAAAAAAAAGGTCTAAAGAAAAAAAAAATCAAAATTGATTAAATTGAGGTTATAATTAATAATTGGGTGTAAAGGGTTGGGGATAATTTTGTTATACATTAATTTTTATCTTTATTTATAATAAATATTAAAGGGATGAGTTTATTAACAAAAGAGTTATATCCTATAAACATAGAATAATAAAGATGGTTGGTTGGAGACTGATAAACAAAAACCATGTATAATAAAATACTTATCAATTTGCGGTATCTTACAATGTATGCAATCATTGGAGGATATTCCTTTTGAAGAATCGTTAATAATTAATGTAACCTTGCAATTATTTATTTAGCATCATAAAAGGTTGGTATCCGACCATCAAATCTATGATGAAGGGATGTTATGGGTCCATTAGGATATGTAACATTCGTAATAATTCTAAATGAATGTGAGTTGTCCATTGCTTTTTTGGGTGGTCAACACTCAACATACAATTCTCATGAAAAAAAGAAAAAAAATCCAACATACAATAAGTCTGATTGAATTATCAAGGGTCATTTCTTGTTTTTATTTAGCATGAAATGCACTTCGCCTCCTAGAAATTTTGAATTTTTGTACTTCCGTCCTACAAATTTTAAAAGAAACCCTCCCTCTTTAAAATTTTGTCCAGTTACACTCTGCTTCAAATTATAAATTTCAGCGTAATTTTCATTGGATTGCCACAAATTCGTCTAATTGAAGGGTATTTGTGTCATTTCAGAGATAGGTCACCATAATAACTGATAACTGAAGAAGCAATTGAAGAGTATTGCAAATTGAGAACTTCAATAGGCACAAATCAATTCGTGAGAATTTTTTTTTTTTAATTATTGAAATGGGTTATATTTTTCGTCTATCAAATAAGATAAGGATGTATTAGGGTGTGGATGAGAATAATGAATCAAATTTAATGCGTTGGAAGTGGACGGATCAATGGCAATTCCAATAAATAATCGCCATAAATTATGATACTGAGCAAAGTGTAACTGGAACAAAATTTGAGGTAGGTGTGTGCTCATTTTCTTAATTTGTAGGGGAAAAAAGTGTGAAAATAGAATTTTTGGGGGTTCAGTGCATTTTGTCAATTATTTTATTTACTTAAAAGATAGTCTTATAACATAATCTTACAACACACATATATCCAAAATGATTTACTTAGAAAATTTGAATCACTTTTATTGGACGTTAGATGAGAGAGTTATAATTCGAATGGTAAAATTGCTAGAGATAGGCGAGAATCTCATATGCAGGGAATTCGACTTGTCACGAATTCCCCTCTTTTCTTCCAATTCTTCACCATGAATTCTTCAACGGTCTGATTCAAGCATTTATTCTCCACGGACAACTCGAATAACGTCTTAAAACTCACAAGCTTTCTCTTCTTCCAAGTCTTCATCCTTGAACTTGTCGGGATCATATCAACAAAGTTGTCTCCACATTAATGCTCTCCATGTCCGCGAGACTTGCGAAAGTGATCGACGAAAAACGACATAGAAAAGCAAAGAAGGTGCAACAGAAACAGAGAGAGAAGAAGGAGCGACGGAGTCAACGAAAGGAATTAGGGTTTGAGTCTGTTTTGGTATGTAAGTGGATGAGAAAGAGAGGTCAAGGTTGTTTCAAACAAAATGAACGGCTAAGATCAGATTTCCACTTAAGACATGTTGGATAAAATTGACCAGTATTTGCTAATCAGAAGATCATAGGTGTTGACAAAATTCACTAAGAATGTCACATATTGGCCTAGGGATGGCAACGGGTCGGTTCTGGGTCGGGTTTGTCTAAACCCAATCCATTTTAGCTTAGACCTAGACCCGCCCCAACCCAGACCCTAATTAAACGGTTCTGACCCGCCAGACCCGCTAGACCCATTAACATACAAAAAAATTAATATTTTTTAACTTTCATAACATTTTGTTTGTATACTTTGACGAAATAATCTCAATACTAAAATACAATATTTTAAAAAATCTCTACAAGTAATATAACATGAACAATAAAATTACAATTAATTATATTTAACTTCAATAATAAGTAAATTCAAAATGCAAGACAATTAGCGGTGGTCGACAAGTGATAAATATTACTCACGAGAAATCAGATTTGAAAAATAAAACAGTAAAATAGGTAAATAAGAATAGACAAGATGGAAATTGATACTTTGATAAATGAAATCCGTAATTATATATATATATATATATATATATATATATATATATTTATATATATACGGGTCGGTTCTGGGTCGGTTCGAATAAAACCCGTAACCCGACCAGAACCATTCGGTTCTAGAAACTTAAACCCATTACCCGACCCAAAACCATTTAGCTTACCCAGACTCACCCCAAACAGGTCGGTTCCGGGTCCAAGACCCGCCAAACCCGTACCCATTGCCATCCCTATATTGGCCCACAGACTTCACAATTATTTTATAAAATTTAATACCATACCCTTGTGGTTTTGAGCGAAGGTATTAATTAGTATTACCTCTATATCACTAAGCCAATACATATGTGAAAACGAGCGGGCCGACCCCGTGGGTGGGCTGAGGGCCTATAGTTAGGATTCACGAGCTCTTAATTAAATGGATTTAAGAACATAATTATTGAGGTATTAACTATTAACTCACATAAATAAAATAATATAATGTTTAGAAATAACAAAGACCAAGATTAACATTATATAATTCGACAATCTAGTCCATACGTATTTTAACTGCTTCAAGCAACCTACACTAATTCCAACCTCACATTTAAATACATTAGTCTCATCAATTATTTTATAATAGCGCCATTAGGAACAAGAGCTGTACAGTTGATTAGTTAGCAAAATAATATATAAATTTACCAATTATAAATCCTTTTTCTCAGGGAACATATTATGATTAAAAGGCATTTGGACTAAGTCTAAGTCAATATAGGTTACGCAAATTAATTATGCATGGTACAACTCAAGCTTAACTGGTTCCGGGATAGTAAGTTGGTGCAAGCTCCTACGGTCGAACACTAACAGTTGCAATGTGGAAATTTCAACTCCAATGAGAATTAGTTTCTCGTGGGCACCAGGTCCTGGTCCGCTACGTAACGGCCGTTGAGTCACCATAATTTGGATCAAATAAAATTTCAACTCCAATGAGGGTTAGTTTATTGTGGGCGTCATGTCCTGTAATAGAGCAGAAAACGCTGTTCATACTTGGTTGTAAAAGCGTGTAACATTTTATTCTGTGATAAGTAATAATAGCACTGTAAATATCCTTTTAGTTAGTCGGTTAGAGTTGTATATAAATACGAGTTTATCTCATTCTGTAAAGACACTTTTTCAGAATAATACATTGAATATTTTTCTTCTGTATCTTCTTCTTCTCCGATGAATATTTCTCTCAAATTCGATATGGTATCAGATGACAATTCCGCATAATCATACTTCGATCAATTCCGATTATCAGAGATTAATTCCGATCTTCTGTTCTTCAATTCCGATTTAGGTTTCGTTTTTTTTTCCCTTTTCAATTTCAATTTTCCCTGAATTTTGAATTCATAGCACAACCGATCCAGGGCTCAATCTTGTTTCTCAGCTGCTCACAGGTGATAATTATTCTTCTTGGAGTCGAGCTGTAACAATTTCCTTAACGGTCAAAAACAAGTTAGGGTTTCTTACCGGGGCGATTCCCTGTCCAATTGAAGCTGATGATCCAGCTACTCATAATGCTTGGGTCCGTAATAATCATATGGTGTTCTCTTGGCTTCTCAATTCAATTTCTAAGGAGATTCAACCCAGTGTCATATATTCTAGTTCTGCCACCGAGGTTTGGGAGGATCTCAAATCTCGATTTCAACAAGGCAATGGTCCTCGTATGTTTCAATTGCGCAGAGAATTGGCCAACTTAGCTCAAGACAATGATTCCGTTACAGTTTATTATACAAAACTCAAGGCAATCTGGGATGAACTCACTAATTTTCGGCCTTCTTGTACATGTAATGCTTCAGCTCAATGTACTTGTGGTGGAATTTTGAAGGTGGCTGATCATTTCAACATGGAGTATGTCATGTACTTCCTTATGGGACTCAATGAGTCTTTTCAACATACAAGAAGCCAAGTCTTGCTCATGGAGCCTCTGCCTCCTATTTCTAAAGTTTTCTCTCTCATGGTCCAAGAAGAAAGGCAGAGATCTGTTTCTCACAATGGATCATTTCAAATGCAGCAAAATATGACAATGCTTGCCAGAAATGTGTCAAGTCAAAATGGCCAACAAAGGAATTTCAATCCCGCATCTAATCCTTTTGTCAAGAAGAAGGATAGGCCTTATTGTACCCACTGCAATTTCAATGGCCACACTATTGAAACATGTTACAAACTCCATGGCTATCCAAATGGTTACAAGTCCAAGAAATTTCAACCTTCTCAATCCAGAGGCAACAATGTTAATCAGGCCTCTGTCATTGTGGAAGATCCTTTTGTTTCTCAGTCTTCGTCTGATAAAACACAAGAGAGTGTGGATTCCCTACTTCAGTCACTCAGCACCACTCAGTGCCAACAGCTCATGAGTTTATTCTCTTCTCATCTTTCGGGTACAGATAATTCTCAGCACATTCACTCACAAAACAATCATGTTACTTGCTGTGTTACAGGTGCTGCTGCAGCAGGTATTCTTGTCCCTCTTAACCACACTAGTTGGATAGTTGATTCTGGAGCTTCTCGACACATCTCTAATGATAAGTCTTTGTTCTGTTCTTTGAGATCCATACAACATGCTTCCGTTACCTTGCCTGATAATAGTTCTTTCCAAGTGCATTTTATAGGCGATATTAAATTGAATAAAATTGTGTTGCATAATGTATTCTACATTCCCGATTTCAAGTTTAACTTGTTATCTGTGAGTTCTTTGCTTTATCAAACTGGTTTTGTCATTTTTTCTAGTGTTGGTTTTATTGTACAGGATGCCTTCCTGAAGATGATTGGCAAGGGTAGAAAAGTGGATGGTTTATACGTTCTTGACGTTGCACATGACGAGTCACCTGCTCTTTCTGATTCTTCTCTTTGTAATTTTGTTTCTGCTTCAACATGGCATAATAGATTAGGCCATTTATCCAATAAAACTCTTGATACTATCAAGCATTCTCTTAGTCTTGATTCTGTATCCATTTGTAAAAACACTCATTGTTTTGTTTGTCCTTTGGCAAAACAAAGGAAACTTTCTTTTGAATTCAATAATAATTTTTCACAGGCTTGTTTTGATCTTATACATTGTGATATATGGGGTCCATTTAAGTTTTCTTCACACACTGGTCACAAATATTTTGCCACTATAGTTGATGATCACTCTAGATATACATGGATCTGTTTATTAAGGCAGAAGTCTGATATCATTGCTTATATTCCTAATTTTTTTAATATGATTCTTACTCAGTTTGGTGTGAAGATAAAGGCATTTCGATCAGATAATGCTCCCGAGCTAGCATTCACTGATCTGTTTACTAAATTGGGTGTTGTACATCAGTATTCTTGTGTACAAGTTCCTCAGCAAAATTCTGTGGTCGAAAGAAAGCATCAACACTTACTTAATGTTGCTCGGGCTTTATATTTCCAATCTAAAGTTCCTATTCATTTCTGGTCTGAATGTGTTCTAACTGCCTGTTATTTGATTAATAGAACTCCTTCAAGGATTCTTAATCATAGTACTCCTTTTGAAAGATTATATAGTAAGCCAGTTTCTTACAATGTGCTTAGGGTGTTTGGTTGTCTTGCTTTTGTGTCCACATTATCTCAGTCTCGATCTAAGTTTGACCCTCGTGCTCGTATTTGTATTTTTCTGGGTTATCCCACTGGTATGAAGGGATACAAACTTCTTGATATTCAAACACATGAGGTTTTTGTTTCCAGAAATGTGATATTTCATGAAACTATATTTCCTTTTGCTGATAATCAAAATTTGAAGGCTAATCCCTCAGAGAATCCTTTTCCTGATGTTGTATTACCTGTCTCTGATTTTTCGAAGGCTATTTTGGATCCATATATTGAGTCTTTGCAGGATCTTAATGCATCTTCCAGCTCATGTGATCCACCATCATAAGACACTTCTCTGTCTTTGGACACTACTGATCTTGTTCTTCCTAACAGTCGAAGATCCACAAGAACTATTAAACGACCAGGTTATCTTCAATCTTACCACTGTAATCATGCTTCCATTATTTCTAAATCTGTTCAATATCCTTTGTCTCATGTTCTACCTTATGATAAGTTATCATCCTCTTTCAAGGCATTTGTTTTTAATATCTCTTCTGATGTAGAGCCACAATTTTATCATCATGCGGTTCGAACTCCAGAATGGAGAATAGCTATGTCTGAAGAGTTAGCTGCCTTGGATGCTAATAATACTTGGTCTGTGGTCCCACTCCCACATGGCAAGAAGCCTATTGGCTCCAAATGGGTTTATAAAATAAAAAGAAAGGCAGATGGTTCAATTGACAGGTATAAGGCCAGGTTGGTTGCCAAGGGCTACAATCAACAGGAAGGTATAGATTACATTGACACATTTAGTCCAGTAGCAAAACTAGTCACTGTTAAAACTCTCCTTGCTATTGCTGCATCTAAGGGATGGTTTTTGCATCAGTTAGACATCAATAATGCTTTTTTGAATGGTGAATTGTTTGAAGAAGTATACATGTCTTTGCCGTTAGGTTATACTCATGCATCCTCATCCAGTTCTTCTTCTACATCTCTTGTTTGCAAACTCACTAAATCATTATATGGCTTAAAACAAGCATCTAGACAGTGGAATGTCAAGCTTACAGATGCTCTCATTCACCTAGGATTTGTTCAATCTAAAGCTGATTATACTTTGTTTACTAAAGGGTTTGATCAAACATTTCTTGCTCTTTTGGTCTATGTAGATGATATTGTTATTGCAGGGCCAGATTCCAGTCTTATTAGCTCACTCATTTCACTTTTGAGCAATAAATTCAAGCTTAGAGATCTTGGCCCACTCAAGTATTTCTTAGGCATTGAAGTAGCTCGGTCTCACAAAGGAATTTTTGTGTCTCAACGAAAGTATACACTACAGTTACTAGACTCCAGTGGTTGTTCTGCGGCCAAACCTTTAGAGACACCTATGGATGCTAACATCAAACTAGTTGCCTCTGATGGACAGTTACTGGAAGATGTGTCTTCCTATAGAAGGCTCATCGGACAACTCCTTTACCTCACCAATACCCGACCTGACATTTCATATGCTGTCCATAAACTCAGTCAGTTTGTCTCCAAACCAACTACAGCTCATTTTCAAGCTGCACATCACGTCCTTCAGTATTTAAAGAAAGCCCCTGGTCAAGGTATTTTTTTTTCCGCAAATTCTCCTCTCTCACTTAAGTCTTTTGCCGATGCAGATTGGGCTTGTTGTCCGGACACTAGGCGATCCACCACTGGCTTTTGTGTTTTCCTTGGAGACTCTCTCATTTCTTGGAAAGCTAAAAAGCAGTCCACTGTTTCACGAAGCTCTGCAGAAGCTGAGTACAGGGCTTTAGCCTCATTAGCAAGTGAATTAGTATGGCTGCAGCACCTCCTGAATGATTTTCAGGTTACTTCCCCTGACTCTACAGTCATCTACTGTGATAATCAAGCAGCTATATATATCGCCAATAATCCAACGTTTCATGAGCGCACAAAACACATCGAAATTGATTGCCATTTCATACGAGAACAAGTCACTAAAGGAGTCTTGAAGCTTCTCCCTATTCGTTCTGAACATCAACTTGCAGATTTTTTCACCCAGGCCCTTCCCAAGCCTCGTTTCATGCGCTTATTGTCCAAGCTGTCCATAGAAAATATATATCGTCCAGCTTGAAGGGGGGGTAATAGAGCAGAAAACGCTGTTCATACTTGGATGTAAAAGCGTGTAACATTTTATTCTGTGATAAGTAATAATAGCACTGTAAATATCCTTTTAGTTAGTCGGTTAGAGTTGTATATAAATACGAGTTTATCTCATTCTGTAAAGACACTTTTTCAGAATAATACATTGAATATTTTTCTTCTGTATCTTCTTCTTCTCCGATGAATATTTCTCTCAAATTCGATATCCTGGTCCGCTATATAACAGGCCATTGAGTCACCATAATTTGCATCAAATATTTGTCGCGCCAAGAGATGGAGTCCCTGGGGTTGATACGATCCTGACAAGATCCAAGACGAAGAATTGGAAGACGCGAAAGCATGCGAGTTTAAAGACATTATTCGAGTTGTCCTTGGAGAGCAAAGGGTTGAATAAGACCATTGAAGAGTTCATGGTTTGGAATTGGAAGAAAAGAGAAAGGAAATTCGTTGGCCAAGTCGAATTTCATGCATCCCAAAAGTTTCGTATGATTCTGGCAGAGTTTACCATTCGAGTTATAACTCTATCATATGATGTCCAATTTAGGTGATTCAAATTGCTACGGAAAGCCAACGGGAAGTTCTACAACTTTCATCTTTTTAGCAAAGAGAGATTCGAAGTGTAACAGTGTCGTAATTGAGCATCAAGTTCATGCACGTGCACAACTAATTGTCTACGCGAGTTTAGAAGGGTGATCGAGAAGTCGACTTGAAGATCAAGTTATCTAATTTATTTATGCACGTTTTAATATTAGGATTTCATATATTTTTATTATTTTAGATTTATTAATGGTTAGGATTTGCTTATTTATTTATTTCCTTATTATAGTTTAGGTAGAAGTCCTTTTCCTTGTGAAAAATGAGTCTTTCTAGACCTTATAAATAGGTTGCCAATTTGGCCTATTTTTGTTAGCCTGAGTTTGGCAGCAATTGTCCACGTGGTGGAGGCCCGGGTATGGGCGGCCCACAATCGAATGTCGTGGGCGCTTGTGTGTGATGAATGCACTATAAGGCTAGGGTTTGCGCCTTTCCTAACACCAATTGGTTTTAGGACAACTCGTAGCGCCTGAGGTCCTACAAGTGGTATCAGAGCCAAGGTCACGGGTTCGATTCCCAGCTGGAGCAATTGCTGAGGGGGAGATTGTTAGCCTGGGTTTGGCATCAATTGTCTACGTGCCCGAGTATGGGCGGCCCACAATCGAATGCCGTGGGCGCTTGTGTGTGTTGAATGCACTATAAGGCTAGGGTTTGCGCCCCACAATCGAATGTCGTGGGCGCTTGTGTGTGTTGAATGCACTATAAGGCTATGGTTTGCGCATTTCCTAACACCAATTGGTTTTAGAAAAACTGGTAGCGCCTGAGGTCCTACAATTTTAATGGACGAATTTTAATGAATATTTGAGTATATTGAGAGTTAATTCTCCTTCACTGTTCTGCAGTAAATTTCGGGATTTTACAAGTGGATTCTTGTAACTTTCTTAGCGACATAATATTGGTTTGTGGTTCTTTAATTTATAACCACGGGGTCAAAGCGACATAATATTGGTTTGTGGTTCTTTAATTTATAACCACGGGGTCAATATTCCACCTTGATAATAATGGTTTCTAGCTCTTTATAGCTATGGGGTCATTATTCCTTGCTTCCGCCAACTTTGATTCCTTTGTTTTTGGATGTTCCGATCTTGCTTCCGCGTAGGGTATTGTGTCTCGTAACGAGTTCTACGGGGTTCGTATCAGTTGGTCAACATTTTGCATTTAGGGTTAAAATATTTTAAATATAGTAAAATATAAATATTTAGGGTTAAATACATTTTGCACCCTTAAAGTATATGGTTGGTAACACTTACCCCCTTAAAGTTACAAATGTTACACTTACCCCCTCATTAATGAATTTAATGGTAAAACTATGACTTTGAATAATGTGAAATTTTTTCTTCCCAAAATATCCTTGTAGCCATTATATAAAATAGTGAATATGTAATAATAAAAAAATTCGGCAACTTAATTTTATTATTTCAGTATTGTAAATTTACAAATGAAAAAAATTGAATTTTAGTTTCATTTTTGTTTTACTTTATGTTCATTTGTAGCTGATACAAATTAACAATTATTCGAATTTTAATTAGGATTTTATAGTTTATATAGTCATTTTAATAAGTATATGACTCATATATAATCATCCCACTTTTTACTTTGAGAATCACAAAATGTAATCAAAAGTTAATAAGAAATCATAATTTGAACATCTAAGTATTTAAATATTTTTTTATTGAAATTTAAATTTAAGTAACTACAATAAATTTTCAAATCAATAATTATTATAAAAAAAGTTGGACGTTTAAGTCTTAAAAATATTTTTTTTTCTTGCAAATGCTTAACGTACTTTATATATTTTTTAAATAATTGAGATTTTTATTCATATTAGGGTCTATAGTAATTAAAATGTGGAGTTAAACATAAATCAAAATAATTATTTTAATAAGTATTATATTTTATAAAATTTAATTTTTGAAATATTATTGAAAATATATTATTCTATATGCATCAATATAATAGTTAGAAGGACAATTTGGGAAGAAAAAATGTCCCATCACTCAAAATCAAAGTTTTACTATTAAATTCATTAATGAAGGGGTAAGTGTTACATTTGTAACTTTAAGGAATGCAACATTAAGGGGATAAATGTTACCAACCCTATACTTTAAGAGTGCAAACTCTATTTAGCCCAAATTTTATTGAAAAACTATACCTTGAAAATACAAAAAAAAAAAAAAAATTGACTTTGATTAATTTCTAGTATATGTTCTTTATATGTTGACAATAACATCTACTATTAATTGATCTTTAATACTTATTACATTTTTAAAATTAAAATAATAGACTGACAACTATGTATATAATTTAAGATTTGAAATGTAAAACTGCATATATTAACAGTAAAAATTTACAATGAAAGTCTTGATGTATTTTTCCGGGCCATACAATTCACCTTTTCCGTGACGTATAGCCGTATATGCAAATAAAAAATATATAGGAATTAATTGCTATACAATCAATTAAGCAATAAAATATAATCAAAAAACTATTTTAACTAAACAAATAATTAATTAAAAGAATAACGAGCCAAATTTAGGTGCAAAACAGGGGTATCTACGCCCAAACTGGCTTTGGATACCCTGTTCCACGCCTGTACCAGGAGTTTGTTTCTCACTTACACGTCTAAAATGGGTGTCAAAACATGGTTTTCATGCTCATGTTGGGAGTGAAAATGATTTTTGGAACCCCATATTGGGTGTGGGCTTCGCGCAAAAAAAAAAAATATTGAAATGAATTTTTAGGATTTTTTAACATGTAATTAACAACAAAAACATGAACTAATCAAAATACAAACAATGAGAGGTAGAAATTTTCTTATTGTTTTGAAGAATTTTCGATTTTGAGAGGATTTTGTGTGTCTGTGAGAATTTGGGAGTTTTAGAGAGAGAGAGAGAAACACATTTTGAAATAAAACGATATTCATAAAATGGGTTTTTATGCATAAATCTCTGATTAACCATTTTTTATTATTCTAGGTTCAGGGGCTATATCATTAACGCTCATCTCTTTAATATGTATTATAGTTATAACGGCAAAATTAATGTATATGACAAAATTACCCTCAACCCTTTAAACTCAATTCCTGATTGTAATCTCAATTTAACTTCATTTTCATCAATTTTGACTATTTCTTTTTTAATTTTTTTTGAGTTTTTCTTACCGCTGATTTGGCATTGACTCTTTTTGAACTTTTTTATATGTTTTTTCCACCGCTGATTGTTTTTTTTTTTTTTTTTTTTTTTTTTTTTAATGTCGTTGGTATTCGGAGTTGACCGTCGATCTTCGACGTTGACTTTTTATTTTCCTAATTTGTTTATCTGTTTTTTTTTTACGCTCGACGTAAAACGTTAACTGTAATTTTACTGTCATTGACAGTAATTGTATTGTCGCTGAAAGTAATTGTATTATCATTGATAGTACAATTGTTGTAAACACAATAATATTATTCTCAACCATATCAATATTGTCATTGTAATATTTGTCGACCACATCAATGTAATTGTATTTTTGTCTTTTTTATTTTGTTTGATTTGTTGACAAGTCAACATAATAATATTACTGTCGTTGATGGTAAAATTACCATAAACACAATAATATTATGGGGTAATGGCAAATAGGCCCATGACAAGGGCACTTAATTAAAAGAGGGACATCCAATTTTTTTGTCTTTTAAATAAATCCACCCCATTCAAACTTATTTGCAAATAAGGAAAATCCTTTTATATATACCAAAATTACCCCCAATTCATTGAAACTCAATTCAACTCCAATTTCATGATTTACACCCCAATTTAGCCCAATTTCATCAATTAACCAATTTTAACCCTAATTTCAATTTTGACCCCAATTTTAACCCTAATTCTTATCAATTCCACCAATTATGCTCTAACTTCCTTAATATTACACATTGACCCCGGATTTAAACAAATATATCACATTAACCCCCAAGTTTTTTTTTTCAGAAAATATTTTTTTTTCTGAAATGTTTTTTTTCCGGCGTTGACTTTTTTTTTTTTTTTTTAATTTTGTTTTTTCTTAAATTTTATTTTTAATTAATATTACTGTCTTGGCTGCTAAATTACTGTCTCCGGCAGTTATCGCCGGAGACAGTAATTTAGCTGTTAATTGACTTTTTTTTTTCTTCAAAAATATTTTAATTAATATTACTGTATTCGTTCCTAAATTACTGTCTCCAGCAGTTATTTAACTGTTGGAGACAGTGATTTAACTGTTAATTGACTTTTTTATTCTTAAAAAAAATATTTTTAATTAATATTACTGTATTCGTTTGCTAAATTACTGTCTCCAGCAGTTATTTAACTGTCGGAGACAGTAATTTAACTGTTAATTGGCTTTTTTTCATTTGTTTTCTTAAAAAAAAATATTTTAATTAATATTACTGCCTTAGATGTTAAATTACTGTCTTCAACAGTAATTTAACTGTCTTAGACAATAATATTAATAATATTACTGTTCGGAAAAATAATATTCATAATATTACTGTTCGGAAAAAATAATATTCATAATATTACTGTCCCAAACAGTAATATTACTGTCTGAGACAGTAATTTAGTAGCTAAAACAGTAATATTAATTAAAATATTTTTTTCTTCTAAGAAAAAAAATTCAAAAAAAAAAAATTCAAAAAAAAAAAAAAGTCAACGCCGGAGACCGGCGGTCAATGGTGGTTGACCGACCGGAAAAAAATTCAGGAAAAAAAAAGTTTTCAAAAAAAAAAAAAAAAGTCAACGCCGGAGACCGGCGGTCTCCGGCGACTCCGGCGGTCAACGCCTGAATCTGGACATTTCAGAAAAAAAATTATTTTCTGAAAAAAAAAAGTTTTGGGGGTTAATGTGATATATTTGTTTAAATCCGGGGTCACTGTGTTATATTAAGGAAGTTAGATCATAATGGGTGGAATTGATAAGAATTATATTATTGAGTGTATTTTAGACTGAAGACATGGAGATGGACTTAATTGAGAGACTGTTTTTTTTGTGGACCAAAATGCATTTAAGTCCCATGTGATGGGCCTTTTTGCCATTTGCCCTAATATTATTGTCAACCACATCAATATTAATTTTTTTGGCCTTATTATTGTGTTTGATTTGTTGGCTGATTAACGTAATAATATTAGTTTCTACTATGGTAATATTACTGTAAATACACTAATATTACTGTGGTTGACGGTGATATTACTGTCGTTAGAACAATATTACTGTGCTTGATACTAATATTATTAGTCAACCACATCAATATTAACTCTTTTGGCTCTTTATTATGCTTGCATTTGTTTTACGATGAACATATTAATATTACTTTATTACACAATAATAATGACTTTTTTTGTGTTAATATTACTGTGCTAGAGAGTAATAACAATATTATTGTCTTAAACAATAATGTACTTAATACTTAATATTGTTGTGTCACACATATTTTAATATGATTGTTAACCATACAAATATTACTGCTTAAACGGGCAAAAAAATGTTGAAGAACAAAAAAAATCAAGACAATCCAAAAAGGTTATAAAAGAAAAAGTCAACGTCGAAGACTGACAGTTAATGACGGCTACGAGCGAAATCATAGTCAAAATTTGTTAGGGTTAAAATTGAATAATTAGTGAAGTTTAAGGTCAAATTAATATTAAATTGAATTAAATGATGAAATTGAAGCATGTGAGGAGGGTGTTTTATCTTTTGCACACATATGGACATTATTTGATTTTTTTTGTAAAATAGTTCTTTATGAATAAGTAGTTACTCGTCATAAAAATAGAAGAGTAAGAATCATATGATAGAGTCGGTAAAACACCTCCTGCATTTATCATATTCAGTTATGTAAAAGAAAAAAAAAAGTAAATAGTACACGTCCACTTTACCTGTGTGTGTCCTAAATTCATCCCTTTTGTTTCCGTCGTGTACCAAAAAAGATATATGTATGTGCAAATCATCAATCAGGCTATGGATTCTGCTGTTCCCCTAGCTTCATTTTCTCGTTATCTCAGATCAAACCGTCGCAATTTCTTCATTCTCCGGTCACCCACTTAATTTTCCGACCCACTTAATTGCCGTCAGACTTCTTTCACCTGAAAATCAAGGTCCTTCACTTTACTCTCTACCTTAATTTGCTGCTTATCCCTTTTCGTACGTAAGTTATCAAGTCAATATTTTGTGAATTTTCACAAAATTCGATTTTTTTGGTTGGTTTTGAACTGAAATTAATAATTAGGGTGAGAGACTTTTACTTATTCCGTGTTTTTAATTTATATCTTTTTGAGTGCGATGCACTTTATGTGAATTCCTCGATTTTGTTTTTGAAAAAAAAAATATGAAAAGCGTTTGAACTTTCTACATTCATTGTCGATAATATTGATACTGATATTGATATTCCTTCCTGGTTTGATTTTTTATTTTGTTTTATATTATCTGACAATCTTATTACTGAATTTCCATGTAGGATTTTGATTGCTGAATTTAGTTATGTATTCCAGATTCCAGTTGTTTTTGGGCATTCTGTATTTCAAGTTTTTACATATAGATTTCTGGTGCAGATCCCTTTTTTATCCTTTATAAATTATGTAATATATTTTGCTGTATGATTTGAGTGTTTGCTGACAAACAAACACATGTATGCTTGGTGTAGGTATTGTGGGTAGGTGCAAAATGGGGCATTTATCGTCAATGTTCAATGGACTAACGCGTTCACTTTCCATCAAGAGAATAAAAAGATCGAAAAGTAATTGTGATGAAAGAGATGCTGTGGATGCTATGGCAAAAGATGCAAAGAAAAACGATTTGATATTGAGGAAATCTGGCATTCTAAATGTCGATGGCTCCAGGAATTTGGCTTCTGTTTTCTCAAAGAGAGGAGAGAAGGGTGTCAATCAAGATTGCTGCGTCGTTTGGGAGGTATCTTTATTTGTATTATTATTATTATTATTATTATCATTATTCCATTTTTGAGGTTGTTTTTATTTATTTTTAAAATGAAAAATAAAAGGAATTTGGATGCCAAGAAGATATGATGTTCTGTGGGATATTTGATGGACATGGTCCGTGGGGACACTTTGTGTCAAAAAGGGTTAGAGAGTCAATGCCTTCGACTCTTCTATGCAATTGGCAACAAACACTTGTTGAAGCTTCATTGAATTCCGATTCCGATTCCGATAAAAAGCTTCAGAGTTTTAATATATGGAAGCATTCTTATTTGAAGACATGTGCTGCTGTTGACCGCGAGCTGCACCATCATCGCAAAATTGATGCTTTTCACAGCGGAACCACTGCCTTGACTATTGTTAGGCAGGTACTCATTTTCTTGCTTTCATTTATTTCCAAATTCTTTTTCAATTTAATATGTAATTATGTAAGTTTGGCGACACCACCTACCTATCTATATCTTAGACACCAATCGATCATTTTGGTGTTTTCCTGATATATGAAAAAGAGCATATATCATCATTCCTCTTGGTTATAAACTTAAAATTCTAGACAAAAATGCCCCGGAACATCTTCGCTCAAGCACAAAACATGTTATTACATAGTTACACGGTTGCTTTTACTTGTCCTTTTATTCTAAATAGAGTTCAAGATTAGGAATTACGGAGCCACTTGCATAGACTACGATCAAGAATAAATCACTAATAAATCAGAATTTCGTGTTTGGCTTTCAGTAAATCTGTCTTTTCAGATAATGAAATCATCTGACACTTGTCCAAGGGGAATATGCAATAATTGGTTAGTTATATCCTCCAGTTGACTATTTTCAGAAGCATCACAATTAACTCCCGACAAGTTATAAGTGGGGGTGGTTTCTAATCATGTTAACAAGTAAGAAAAACTTCATTTTTAGTAACTTAATTTAGGCAACTAATTTGTGTCATCCAATTGGTTAACCTAGTTGACGTTTGTCGGTTGGTGTTCTTAGCTGTCTGCCATTTTTAAACAATTTACATTGTTAATGACTTGAATAAGCAATTTATTCGGCTGTAGATGCACCTATTAATATTAATCAATTGTTGGGTTGTAAATCATCACCACTTGTTTAAAATATGTCCTGATAAATTGATTATTAATCAATTTTATAGGGCTGTAGTTGCTACTAGAACCGTGCAATTGTTCTAATATGAGCAATTTTTGCGATTTTGTTGATGTTCTGTTAGGGTGAGTTTATTTTCATTGCAAATGTTGGAGACTCACGTGCAGTACTGGGCACCACTTCTGAGAATGGCAACTTGGTAGCAGTCCAGCTTACCATTGACTTCAAGCCCAACCTCCCTCGTTAGTCTCTCTCTCTCTCTCTCTCTCTCTCTCTCTCTCTCTCTCTCTCTCTCTTAGTATCTCTCTCTGAAATAAATAAATAAATAAATGGATGATGAAATGTGGAAACACACACACAGAGGAGGCAGAGAGGATAATGGAGTGCAAGGGAAGAGTATATTGTCTAGAAGACGAGCCAGGTGTTCATAGAGTATGGTTGCCTAATGAGGAATCTCCTGGACTTGCTATGTCAAGAGCTTTTGGTGACTATTGTGTTAAGGATTACGGACTTATTTCTGTCCCTGAAATCACTCACCGCCATATTACTACTCAAGACCTATTTGTCGTGCTCGCAACAGATGGGGTACGTACCTACGTTCATTCTTCATCGCATCTTTATTTATTAGCTTATTAAAAATATTAACTCACTCAAATGCTAAATATAATTATCTATCTTTTTTTTTTGTAACAAAAGGTTTGGGATGTTGTATCAAATGAAGAAGCAGTAAGAATTGTATCGGCAACAGAAGACAGGGCAAAATGTGCAAAGCGATTAGTTGAGCGTGCAGCAAATTCGTGGAAGCGGATTAGAAAGGGTATTGCTATGGACGATATCTCAGCTATTGTACTCTTTTTCCATTCTTCTCCTTTTCCTCAACTTTTACCCACTCCTAACTAATGCTTGCTTCCTATTACACTAAATAATCACATCATTAATTTAATAATTTAGGATCCTATCTCAGTAATTATTTATTTGAGTATTATATTAGCCAAAACTGGGATTTTTCAATTACTAAAGTTATTTTTGCTTTCATTTCAAACAATTCGAAATTATATTTCTGGTCCTAATGATTAATATCGAATTATCGAACTAAGATTCTACTATCTATTAGAGTAATGTGCGAGTTCATGATCATATCTATTAAATCGGGGACCAAAATATGCTCTATTTCATTTTATTTTGTTTTTCAATGTAGCAAGTAATCGGCAATAGTTTGATGTTGTTCATGGTCCATAACATGTGGATTTTTTAACAAAATGGTCGAGGAATTCGAATATTTGTGCTTAAGATAATATTGCTTAATGTTAGTGCTCACAGCTTATATCGATTGCTTTTCAAGATACAACAATCGTTTTTGAAGATCATATAAGAAGATATTCACAAAAATATATTTTTGAGCTAAAATGCAAAAAATAAAATTTTGGAATGGGATTATTGAAATGATAGAATTTGGATTCTATTTATAGAGATTCTCAACTCATACATTAACTTGTAGAAAAACAAAACATCTATTTAGTCGAACATATCTTTTCGATTTGAATCGACACATTTTCAGTTGAATGGTGTTTAAACATCTCTCTCAGTTTCCAACAATTTATTAACTATTAATAAATTTTGAAAATATAAATTTAATCCACTTAAATATTTTATCAAAATTTGAGTAAGACTCAGTTTCCAACAATCTCCCTCCCCATAAAGGAAAGTTAATGAACTCGATAATGGATCCTACGATAGTGCATCTAGATTTTGATTTTGTAAATTCCTTAGCGCCTTAGCGGTATACATTTAAATTTACTCGGTTAATTGTTGTCTCTTGAATTGTTAAGCCGTTCGCTTTTGAACCAAAATAATTATATCTACACAATTCTAAAAAGAATCTTTAAGAAAAAAAAAAAAAAACCGGATCTAATATGAGTCATATATATGACGTACAATGTAAGTCCTCTTTGTAAAGGTTTTCTCATGACAACTCTGAAAAGCGTCACATTAGATAATTATAATTTAACAAAGAGTTAATATTCTATTATAGTACGCCTCTCACATTTCTTGCAAAAAGGAAAAAAATAAAAATAAAGTTCGACTTACATTGCTAATATTAAATAGTGAGGGTTTTCTCTCATTACCATGTGTAATGTCTAATTGTCAAAACAATTATCGTGTAAAAGTATTTGCAAATATCATCTTACACTGTACTTTATATAGTCCACCATCCATCAGTTGAGATAAGCCTGTTGATTTAAAAATGACTAAAATACTCTTAATTAAAAAATAAAGTAGATACTTGAAACCCGAAAAACAACAATTGCACCCAAATTATTCTCTCTTTCATGTTTTTCGCTATTACATCACGATTCTCAAATTCTCACTTGAGAGTGGTGTGGAACATCTTGTACATTGCCTCATCTGTTGAGCCATATAAATCCACCATAGTGTGGAACTTATTGATGTGTTCATGTGGATCAGTAGTTCCTTTGAATTGAGGTAGGACTGAAACTTTAACTACTTGAGGCAGTACCTCATTGAGCATGTCCATAGTAAAAGGAGTTGGTGCTCTTCCGCCAATAGAGTTGTTTAGTTAGGGAGGCAATTCAGGTCAGATATCCTGCTATTTATCTCATCACCCCCTTCATTAATTGGAGGAGCTCGCGGGGAGATGCCTTACCCTTTGGAGGTGAATGCGGGCGTCGTCGCCAGGGTTGTGCCCCTATATGATTGGTGGATTGGCATCCGTGACCTTGGGGTCCGAGTTGGATGTTGATAACATACTTATTCGGTGGTCATTGTCTTGGGATGGTGGTGGTGCCACGTGTGGGATCCAAGGGGGGAGCATTTGCTCCTGTTGTGGCGATGTATTGGGCCCCTACTTCAGTGGCAGGGCGAGTAGCTAGAAGCTTACATAATCATACGTTTTGGAGTGCCTCCTCAGTTATCTGAACCGTTCGAGGAGCAGAGAGTGGTGGATTGGTGAGTGGTGGATCCCGAGGGGGATTTACCTAGACATCACTAGGTGGATCCCGAAGGGGATTTACCTGGACATCACGAGGTTGATCCGGAACACAAGGAGGAAGTGGCAAGCCAGAGCCTCTGCGAGGTGGGAGGTTGTTAACAGTGTCATGTTCTCTTCGAGTGGATGACTCAAGGGCATCATGCACACTACGTGATCTTGTATGCATTCACATTGGGTAGTAGAATAGAATGAGCTGGGACAGCAGAGTGAATCACTGGTTCACGAGCTCGAAGGTCATGAGACACCTTAATAATTTGGAGATTCCCGCGTAAAAAGTAAACGTGAACTAAGCCGGGGGTTTATCCGGCGGACGCCCCTCCGACGCTTAAGTCTGATACGTGGATCATGAAATATTTGAGAGAATTGCAATAGCTGCATTGCCTGATAAAAACAACGTACTTTGATTAAATGAATTAAGTTCTATTTATACTTCATTGATTGGATCGAAACCGATTTACTGGGCTCAAACCTTATTTGAAGGTGATTGAGTCTTGGTAGTAATAGCTTCTAAATTGGCCTATGGCCCAATAAATAAATAAATCGTAGGGTCATTGGGCTGACCCAATAAACATATCAGAAAATTAGCCTATTTTTCTTAAAATAAACATCATCTATATTATTTTTTTTTATAAATATGTTCTTGTCAATAATTGTCCAATGATAAAATAATCAATAATTTTAATATATTTTTGTCAATAAATGTCCTATAATATAATTTTATTATGTTTTGTCAATAATTAGAATGAGTTATAAACCATTTTATTTAAAATAACCTTCATCTACATTTTTGTTATAAATATATTATTGTCTAATAATTTTCCTATATATGATAATCAATAATTTCAATACGTTCTTGTCAATATTTTTTTCATAATTGTATTAACTTTTATTATTATTTATATTTATAGGTTATTTACGTTTTGCATTTGTTTTTAAATATATGTTTTGTTGTGAAAATTAGTATTAAGAATTAAGATTACTACTAATGTCTTGAATTATATAATTAAATGTGTAAATTTTGACTCTTAATATTTAATAAAAGAAAAAGAAAATGAAAAATCACGGTTGCTACTAGCGGTGGCAAAATTTTCGTTTCGCCTCTTTTTTCTTTTACCTTTTCATTTCCCTCTTCTTTTCTTTCCCCTTTTTACTTCCCTCTTCTTTCCTTGTCCTTTAAGATTTTTATTTTAACTATATTTTTTAAGGGCATGCGCGGTCGTAAACCCGCAGATTCTAGGAAAACCCACCATCGCCCTGTCAACCAACGGTTCTTGATTCTAAGGAACCAAACTTGTGGGTTTTTGACGGGTTTAGGATAGACGGGACTATTGCGGGTTTAAAGTAGAACCCAACCTTCATGGGTCGAAACCCGTCGTCATTTAAAAAAATTATCTTTTTCCAATAATTTATAAGTTTTACGCGAAATTATTTGGAAATTAAAATGAACTACCAAGCCTAAAAATTTAAATTGAAACAAACGTGAATACCATCAATAATAAATGTCACGAGTAAATCAAAATTAACAAGTTTTAACCATCAATCCAAAAAAGAGTAACTAAATTCAAACCTTTATAAGAAAAGATTTAAAATAAAATAGAAAACCATCGATAAAACGAGACGATGTCGTCTTTATAGATATAAGTTTTGACATATAAGAAATACTTTATCAATTTATTATGCATTATTTATTTATTATACTACATAATATAAACGAAACGACGTCGTTTTGTATAGCGGGGTGGAACGGGTATTAAATTTTTTTGAACCCGTCTTAGACCCAAACCCGAGCATCTTGTCGATTTCAGAACCCAATCCTATAGATGGATCAATCCGTCCGGTCCTAGCGGAAATGTTTTTACCAATTTAACAGGTTCAACTGGTTAATGGGTCCGACTTGCTCGTCCCCAGTATTTCTTTTCTTATTTATTTTATATTCAATATTTAAAACTAAAATATTTTAATTCCATAAAATTGAATAGTATCTCTACAGATGTATTTAATTAAACATAATAACATATTAAAAGTTAAATATTGTTTAAATTAATATTAAAAAATACGGTTGGTTTCATGAATCATCGGGAGTTGGGGAGTTTTGGTGATGCAATTCAATCAGGTACATAATATATGATTTGGTGAAGAAAAACATTATTCGTTGTATTATGATTTTTGCTTCCTTTGATAATTACATAAACAGTTGTAATTATTCATGTAATTTACGTGTCTTTTTGTTATGGTCCACTTGCAGATGAAAAAATACATATAAGCAAACTTGATCTTGAATATAAGTAATGACTTATCGGCGGTCATTGGCATCGCTTTTGACAATTGCCATCTTTAGTTTCTTTTGTTTTGTTATTACTCAGGCAAAGGTGGTTGTACTGGAGCATATAATCATTCACTGGAGACACAATATTATGTCGAAATCGTATTTTGGAAAATGAGGACTTTACAATTGGTACCAACACTCATCTCCTTTCGGTGATTGTCAAGATATGTAGTAATATATATTATATAAGATATAAGTCGGCTACTAATATTTTAGATCGACACTAAAACGAGCATATTTTGCTTATTTTCAAGAGCGGGTAAAAATCGTTTCACATCTGAAGCTAAAAAAATAGTTCCAATTGCTTCACAGTTTTTGGAAGACACCTCGAAATTCAAGATTTTTTTTATTTTAAGTTGTTAGTTATATAGGATTTTCCATCAAAAAATAAATTCTTTTTTTCATCATCATCCATTTCATATTATAGGGCCATTAAGGTTTTTTTTTTCTTCTTAGATATTTGCTTTCTTTCTTTAATATATATTATCATTTTTTAATTTTTCAAAATAAGACATTCGACGCTTTCGACTATACAAGTCCAATATAACAAACACTAAACGTTTTGTTCTTAATCATTCTTTTCCTCCAGGGTTGAGTTTTTTCTTCTTATACAATTTTTTAAAAAGTTGTATGCCGGAAGTGAATGCTTGGTGGTGTTGCGGAATAGTCTTTTTTCTCCATTTTTTTATCTCCACAATGTAATGCA